GGGCATCGCTGTGCGCTCGCCCCATCCCTGGCCGGCGGTGTTGGGGGGGAGGGTCCTCGTTCTTCCAGAGAAGGCTCCCGCCCGCCCGGCAGCGGTGGAAGCTCAGCACCTGGTACCGACACAGCGGTCTTTGGGGTCCAGAAACCCAATGAGCTTCGGCTCCTCGCTGGTCCCCACTTTCACTCCGGAACGTCCGCGCGCACAGGCTCAGTGGCGGTTTGCAGCCCTGTCTGGAGGGCTGGACCCGCATTTCCTAGGAAAACAAGGTTCTCGGGATTTGGGAAGGAGCTTTGCGGGAGCTGGGAGCTCTGCATAAAGGCAGCCGGGGTGCGCCTGCCACCCAGGGCGCGATCCCACCCGCCAGGTCCCGCCGGGTGCCCGGGGGATGGAGCGAGAGGCGCGTGGACGTCCCTCAGCTGTTCTGGTGACCTGAGCACAGTCGGTCCCCAAGCAGCAGAGGGCAGGGCCAGCTGTGTCCTGCCAGGGCGGCTTTGACTTCCTCCGTCTCAGTTTGGAGGTGAGGCTTTCTGGAGCGGGAGAGGACAGAGCTGGGGGAAGCCACTGGGACGTGAGAAGAGCCAATCCTGGAAGGAAAATTGAAGCAGAGGGAGGAGAGAAGGAAGAACGGAGGAGGAGGAGGAGGGCTGCTGATTGCCATTTGTGAAACTGGCAAGTTTTGACTTGAAACTTTAAGAAAAATTGATTTTTTTCCCTGAAAAAAAAAAAAAAAGAGAGAGAGAGAGAGCTTTCTTAAGGTTTCAGATGAAATCTGCCCCCTTGTGATGCAGTGAATCAATCCCCTCTGTGAAGAGCAGTGAGGAAGCTTGCTATCAACACAAGCCTCTCTGGGTCGCTGGGAAGTTGAAATGATTGGGTAGCTTCATCCCCAAGAGATGGTAAAGGGGAGGGAGTGGGAGGAAAAAGAGGTGATGCGTGTGTTTCTTGTTGTTTTTTTTTTTTCAGGAAGGTTGAATTTGTCTGTTTGGTCGACTTAGAACAGGCTTCTTTCTACTACTCTCGGTATTTTAATCACTTGACAAACCAAATAAAAGCACCTGATTTATGGTCTGTCGTTTTATTTGGTTAGATTGTAAACAGAACCATGGATTTTTGTGTTAACAAGGTCAATGTTCCCTTTCTGATGTTGAACATTTCCAGGAGTCTGATATTCAGGCTGTGTGTAGGTGGGGACTGGATCATTTCACCCTGGTTAGTTGGAGTAGCCATGGGAAATGTGTGAAAGTAAAGTCCTCTGTTATTTCCATAGAATTCTTTAGGGTTCTGAGGAGATGCAGTAAGGATTCTTAATCGAATAGTCTTTTAGTTTTTTAAATAACTTTTGACTTTATAGTAAAATTTTGATGATGCCTTCTATGCTATTTTTCACTTAACAAGGTATATAGTCTCCCCATGTCAGCCACTTGTCCGGTAGACTGATTTTTTAAAGAAAATCTAGGTTGAGGAATGCTATTTGTCATTGTAATTGTTCCTTATCTAATGATTATAAATCAAAGACATTTTAATGCATTTTGGGTTTGTGGCAACTGAGGGCTTACTTGTTTTTTGTTTTTAGTGAATAAATATTTTTTTTGCATTTAAGAGATTTATTTCACTTCAGATGTATTTCAGTTTACGTACGATGGATTGTTATATGTGCATTTGACAGTAATGAGCCAATGGAGACTCGGAAGCAGTAGGCTATTTTTGAAAGTGTTTTTACTAAGTTTTGACCATTTAGATTGTTGCTTAGAGACAAGTTTTCAGCATAATATGCTTTTCAGTGGAGTGTTTTAAATTTAGTTTGTGATCCTTATTCTTAGCTGTTTAAATCCTGAAAGCACCCCGAGTATAAAGCTGGGTACCAGCTACATTATTCAGTAGGATCACAATAATAGTTCTTTTTGCTGTGAACCATGCCTAGAGACCTGGGTTATTTTCAGTGCCTTAGCCAAATGTGATGACTTTTATAGGCTCTATTGCTCTTTCTACTCTGAAAATAACTCCTAATGGGTAAGGCAGTATGGAAAACAGAAAGCTTTTTGCTCTTTATTGTCACCAGAGAATTATTTAAGAGTGAAATGAAAAGGGCGATCTTTTTTGAGCTATGTTTAGGAAGCTGACCAGCATTCTTGCCATCGTGGGCTTTCCTGGAGCAGCTACTGTGCAAAAAGTAGATGTAAATGTTATTGTCATGGTGATCGTGACAAGAAAAAAGCTTCAGCGATGAATTTTTTAAAAAATGTACAACAGTGATGTTAAACAAATACACAGCTAGTACCTTTAAATTTTTGTTTTCAGACACAGTGCTGAATGTTAATGCAGTGAAAAGAACCTTCTTAGCCAGTTTTGCGAAGCTTTCTTTAAACTCAATTGAAGTAATACGGCAGCTTTCGAACATTGAAAGTTTCGCAGCATCATTTTAAAGTAGAAAATGATCTAGATTTAACACATATTACTGAATATTTACTGAGATGGAGGCATCATGAGTAACATTTTTGCTGTCCGTGAAGTAACATTCCAATGATAGAAACTGACATATACCAAGGAGTCAAATCAGAGATGATGGTGTCAGGAGAGGTGCCAGTAATTTTCATTAGGAGACTGGAGGAAGAATTATGGAGAGGATTCCTAGTGGAAGATTCGGGAAACATTCCACATCAGAATGGCATTTGAGCTGGGCCTTGGACAGGGAGATCACAGGGCTGGGATTTTTTTTTAGGATTCCTTGAAAGGTGAACCTGGACCACATGTGAGGGGCTCTCAAAGATGATCATGTAAGTTTTAATTTCAGTATCAATTATGTGCTTTAGAAAAACAGCCTAGAAGTTGAGGAAGTAGACTAAAATACTCCCTCAAGATTAGACTATAATTGCTTTCAACGTGATGCTTTTCACTTTTCTTCTTCTTACATAATAGGTTGCACATATCTGTTTGCACCTGTTGTTTAGACTTTATTATTGTTGTTGGTATCCTTGCTATTATTATATTTCTCACAGGAGCAATTTTGTTTAGAGAAAAGCAGTTAATTTATCCTCTCTGTGCTTGGATGCACGCCTAACCTAGATTGCCAGTTGGTTCTATTCTCTTGTGTTTCAGGTGATTTTTTGAGGTGAGAAAATGTTTCACAGACTTAGTACTGAGCCATTGACAAACATCTGCTGTTTATCATATGGAGAGCGAGTCTGTGGCTGGGAGGGGACAGCTTCTTCCTTCAAGAAGACCTGTGTGGGTTTGTTTTTAAAAGCAAGCAGAGGTTGCTTAACACAGTGTCAGGAACATGGTAGGTGTATTTATTGAATGAAGAAAATGTGCACTCACCAAGGAGCTGTGTCATGACAATTAGCGTTGATTGCCTAAGTGGAAAATTTGTGTGTTTTCAGATTCTAATGAAACGATTAGCCTGTGATTTGTAATAATTAACATTATAGATATCACAGATCTTGTTTCAGAAGTATGAACCTGATTCTTTTTTTATTTTCATTTGTATGTGGTCCTTTTCTGAGCTGCTTTTGTCAATAACATTTCAGATATTTTACATGTTTTTTTTAAATTTAATATCCAAAATTATTAGTTTTTCATTTATATTTTTTTTCTTTTCAAAATACTGATTGAGGCTGGAAATGTGGTGGGATGCAATCCTCCCATCCTGAATTCTTCTTGTAATAAAATCAAGGCCCAATCACCCTCATAGTGTCAAGACAGAAATACAGGGAAGTTTGGAAACAGGAAGAGGTAATGGAAGTAAAAAAAATGAGCAGGAAGCAGGAGTTGGTAAGGTGTTGGAATCATCTTCAAATGCCCAGAAATATGGAATTAGAATTCCACTTTGAATGTGCCTGGGAAGGATGGGGCAGTGTCTCTCCCTTCTACCCCACATCCTTTGCCATCTCAGCACTAAGAACATCTGAGTATCGATTTAGAAGACTTCATTTGAATGTATTTAATTGTATTCTCTGTTGGAGCTCCTTTGTAAGACTTACATAACATGGAAAAAGAAACTTGTCTTTTGTCTTTGACAATTACATAATGACATGCAGACCGGTTACAAGATGATGATGGTGATGATGACATTGATAGCAAAGGATTTTTAAATTTTTGTTTTAATTAGTTGTAAATAACTTATACAGAAATGAGATCATGGTATTAGTGCCATGCACAATATGATGCCATCCCTGTAGAAACCCCGATTTTAAGGGGAAAAAAAATGTTGTCTGGGAATAAATTCTTAGTAAACCAAATAGGTTGAGGATGATTACAAAGTTATTACTTGTCAAGGTGACTCTGCTCTGTGGAGTGAATACTTTTTTGTAAATGATTTGGTTTTGACCTTTTTATCTTTCATTGAAAAGGCAACAAGATGATTCCAAAGACAACAAGATGATTCAGAAGGGCTTTGTAACTGTAAGACTACACTTTAGCTATCCATGTCTCAGCCTCTTTAGTTGAAAGTCGGCATGCTGACATTTGCCACCTGCAGATAATCCCAGATGATCTTCTTTGGTGCATTATAAGCTTCTTAAGGGACTATTACTGGAACCGGATGCCAGCTCGCACGTGGAGATGATCCATGTTGCATATAGGACTGAGGTAACATTGAGAGGCTGAGTTAGGATGGAAATAAACATTTGTTTTATCTGAACTCTGGTCCTTTTAGTCCAAAGAGAAAGTAGAGATCTGAAAGGAAGACAAGAGTGGTAGTTGTCCTTAAGAACTGAGTCTGCCATCCCTGACTGAGCCAGTTTGCTGCTTTCACTCCAGTTTTCTGGTAATACTTAAAATTAGTTATACCCATTACCAGGTTTCCTTCCTGACATTATATTTATTTGTCAGTTTCACCTTCTTCCAATATACTGAGTTATTATTCTCTTGCTCGAAAGACCCCATACAGGTTTGAAGTCTGTGATCATAGAAAGCTTGAGCCAGTTTGCTGCTTTCACTCCAGTTTTCTGGTATACTTAAAATTAGTTACATCCATTACCAGGTTTCCTTCCTGACATTATATTTACTTGTCACTTTCACCTTCTTCCAATATACTGAGGTATTATTTTCTTGCTCGAAAGACCCCATGCAGGTTTGAAGTCTGTGATCAGAGAAAGCTGACCTCAAGTTTTCAGTATGTTGCTTTAAAGGCACATATTATTATTATTATTATATTATTCTGAATGGTTTCTGAAATTTCAGTATGTTGCTTTAAAGGCACATATTATTATTATATTATTCTGAATGGTTTCTGAAGCAGTGAAAGGAAATGATTGAATTATAAGTTACTTAGTTGCCTCTATCATTTACATGCTTTGTAAATAGTAGGGCATTTTATACCAAAAGGAGAGGCATACATGTTAAGTAAAATCATGTAAAGATGTAATGCTCTTGTCCTGACACATCTAGAAGAAGTGAGAAAATAGAGAGTTAATACGGACCAGTTTAATATAATGAGGAAATACACACTGCAGGACATGATTAATTGCCAAATGAAGTAATAGAACAGACTCTGAGTCTGAATTGAGAGCTTTCTGGAGTGTGGGAAGACGTATGAAAGTGGGATTTGAGCTACGTCCTGAAAATGAATTGGAGGAGGAAGTTGTTTTAGGAAGAATGAAATCAGGAATATGCAAACCCTGTCAGGAACACACTTTCCTCTGTGTAGAGAAAAATCAGGAGAAATAATCTCAAACTAAAATGTAGCTTCAGAGATTTGAATAGTTCTAGAGTGTGAATACATGTACGTTTTCTTCATGAAAATCTTCATAATTGTCTATATTCAGATTTTATTAATATTGTAAATGTTATCTGTACCTTGAAAGTTGGATTTAATTTTTTCATGTTTATGATGCAGTCTTCAAATCTCAGGGTAAATTTGCTTGCTTTTCCCTC